GATAACATCTTACGAGTATGTTCTTTCTATTATATTGATTTATGATCTCGTTAATTTCAACGACTATCATTTATAACTTAAGGACGGTGATGTTTTTACCGACTGTGGTAATTAGCCCGTTATCTAAGTTCTTGTAATATGGTATGACGTCTGTTCCACAAATAACCTCATAATTACTTGAAAATAAACTTTAAGACTGCATCGTACTCAGATCTGTCAACCAACAGTTTTGAAAAAATACAGATTATTGCTGGCATGAATTACTCAAAAGTCATATTAATTAAAAAAATTGGAATATCGCATAATACAGTAAAATTAAACAATGCAAATTTTATAAACTTACCCAAATTATAACTGATTATCAATATTTGAGAGTTTGGGGAGACGCTGATGGACTGCAACTTTAAGGGATAGATTTCGGTCGTAATTTTGTAATAACATATTCATGCGAAATTGGCTGAACAAATTTGATGAAATTTTGTATTTGTTAACTCCTAATAATGCAGCATAATAAATAGAGAATCTTTAGGTTATCTATTTATTACTAATAAATACGGCATTAAGCAAAATTCCTCAAGCTAAATTAGCTGAAGGGAGTTTGATGAAATTTGGTAGAAAATTGACGAAAGAAGATTAATAAATATGCGACCCAATTTTGGATGTTAATGTAACGGTATGTCATAAGCAATTAGAATTCCAGGCGAAAGAAATCGTAGAAAGGCATTTGGTTAAATGATTTTGCATTGATGATTTGACATTGCATGTTGGATTGTGGAAAAAAATATTTTCAATCTTCAAGCGGCCGAAATCATGGGCAAAAGCTAGTTATAAATAACAATGTTAAGATATAAATAAGGACTTCACTTACCTAATACCGTCGCCAAGTTGAGGCGCAAGCACTGCCGTGTTTTGGTTTACGAGCATTGAGAAATTCTTTTTTCGTCAGTACAGATGCCGATACATCTGTAGCCTTCTTTGAAGTAAATACTGCCATGGCCAACAAGAGTTACACCATCCGATGATATTTAAGTTCATTTCTCATTTCAATTTATAAAACAAAAATATTTCATAGATTAGTGCTTCTATTCTATTCGCTTCTATTCGATTATATTTCCTGTTACATAAAAATACTATCTGTTCTGTTGTTGTATCTGTAAAAACAGATAGTATTTTTAATACTATCTGTTTCTGCGAAATCAGAGATAAAATGCCTGGTACAAAATTTTAAAATATTCTCATTTTTATTGCGGGATTTCACGCGTGCACATTACTCTAGAGATATAGCTGAGCTATATCCGATACACGGGCGAATACATTGCTGTTTCTTTTCATATATTGACTATCAATACGTTACGTTTATTACGTACATTTTATTAACAGTATAACACAATTTTGTATGTATGTGTCGTGGGCAAATCATAGAATTAATCACTTCATGATGTGGCTGACAATTTCATGAAATGGTTGTACCTATTTCTGTAAATTATTAATGTTGTTTTAGGACCACTTCTGTGGAACATCGGTTACGACTGGGTATTGTGGGCAGATCTTCCCCCAGATATTGGCATAACCTTATATGCAGACGATACTCTGGTCACTACCCGGGGTGAGACTTATAAGGCGGCCGTCCGTCTTGATACTGCGTCTGTGGCACAGGTTGTCGGCAGAATCATGATGTTGGGACTGGAAGTGGCGTTAAGCAAGTTTGAGGCCATTAGTAGCTGTCTTAAAACGGTTGCTACTCAAAGCCGGAGGGCCCGATGCTAAATGTCGCAGTCACTACTTGGGGAGGTTCGGTATACGATTTTACATGGGGCTCCCATATGGGCCAGTGCTCTGGCGGAAAGAACCATCACTTTCCTGAGAAGGTCTCTGAAGGCCATGATGGCCGGCGGTGTCGTACGAGGGTACCGGACAAAAAAACTATGAGGCAGCATGCGCCTTGGTGGCGTCTGCACCCTGGGATATGGAGACGGAGTTTCTTGCGTCTATGTATGATTGGCGCTCGGAATTTCAACACCGAGGGCATCGTCCTTCTCCCAGATAGTGGCAATTTCGGAAGTTGCACACTCGGCAGCTTGTGTTTAAAAAATGAAGAAGCGTCTGGCCCATCTGCAGGCAGGAAGCAGGACTGTCGAGGTTGTTCGTTCGGTCCTGCCAGACTGGATGAATAGGCGGCACGGGTCACTGACCTTTCAGGTGGTGCAGTTACTTTCCGGGCATGGGTGCTTTGGTAAGTATCTGTCTGTTGAGCCGGAAGAGAGCCGACAAATGAGTGCCACTACTGTGTTAACGACGTGACGGGAACAAGGTGCAGCATACCCTTGAGGATTGCCCGGCTTGGGCAGAGTAGCATTGTGACCTCGTGGCTATAGTGGGGGACGACCTACCTCTGGCACCCAGCTTTGATTAAAGCTATGATTAGATGCGAGAGGGCGTGGAATGCCTGGCTGCGGAGACGGAGAGGAAAAGGACGGCAGATATCCCAATCCACAGCTGGAGAGTAGGGCGCCTGAGGAGAGGCTATATATATCAGGCTCTCCTCTATCCCCCATAATTGAGACTCAGGTGGTGGACACGGGAGTTGTCCGTCGCCTCTTACGGAGAGACTCGAGATGGCGCATTTTTTTATAGGAAAAGGGTGACAAGCGAGCGCACACTCCACCTGACGGTAAGTAAGATGCTGTGGCCCATAGACATCTACATCTATCCTCGTTTGCGAATCAAAATGAAGATGCGTTGTCACCCGTGAGGACTAAGATGGAATGCCTCTTTTCCAGTAAAAAGGGTCTCCGGTTAGCAGCTTAATGCTGCTGTGTTTCGTATAGTGAGCGTAGAGTCACTATACGAAACACAGCAGCATTAAGCTGCTATTTGACGCTGGTATTCTGTGAGAGCGTGGTCCTTCCCCGGTCGACCCGACCCATTCGTGCTACAACTATACAATTAATATAGCTGCAGCATGACTCTACCACGTATAATACGTACGGTGTGTTCGTACGCCCTTACAAGAAGAAGTCACCGATTCGGACCCTATAAGCGCTATCGCCGTCGGGGCTGGGGTAGTGTACGAAAGCGTTTCAGATAGATTCTGTGTTCGTATGTCATCTTACTTCTATTAAAAACCACGTTAAAGAATTTATAACTGATACGGATAGTCCTTAAAAATGTCAATTCAAAAGTTCAATTTGAAATTCTGTATATAGCAAAGGATAATTTTATAATATTGTGTGAGAAACGTAATAAACAAGTGCATCTATGCATAACAGAACGCATTCGAATGGAGATTTGTTACGCTATTATCGAAACTCGGCCACAGATGCCGGAACTGAAGCTGGCGAACAGCGAGATACAGCGGTATCAACTGCTGAATATTGGCGCAACTTCATACATGTGCATATTAATAGTATTTACGAACTTCAAATTCTGAGAACACTTATCGCTAGGAGGACATTATTGATGAGGCATTAGTGATTTGAAAAAAATAACGAAGTAATTAAAACGTGATAATAAGACAACAGAAAATCGATAGTGGCTACGCAGTTGTCCTAATTTTTAACTCAACTTGAAATTTTAATGTCATTCCAGTGACAAGCTCTATGAAGATAGCAGTGAGAAGTCAGCAGAAATCTTAAAATTGTATCCAGGAATTTGTAGCTAATTTGTTGCTAATGAGTTGCCAAAATCTAAAGGTTTTGAGAAAATTGCTTTACTGCTATCTTTACATTAAGAAGAAGATCACAAAGAAAAATTTAAAATAAAACATTATTTGAAATAAAGGTGTGTTTTAATAATGCTCTTAAGTTCTTCAGCTCAAAGTTCTGAAGTTTTGATCAATAAATATATCAATAACTCGTACAATAACATAATGTCGGTCGATTAGCTGCCTCAAGTAATAGGTTACAAACTTTATGTGTAGGTACATGCTGCCTGTACTGGAGATTTAAAAAAAGACAGCAGATATTTTATTGCTATTCAGTTACGGAAGCAGCAAGTCATACGAGTAAAGAGCCTGCAACAAATTAAAACTATCTATGCACTGCACCAAGTAATTGGTTAGTAATTATTTCAAATAACATAAAGTTTTATAATAAAAACGACGGGTTTCATCCAACATGTGAAATATTGAACCGATGTTTATCGTTGTCTGTAATATTATAGTCACTTCAATAGTTTTTTTTACGGAAGCAAATATTTGTCAAATTTCGGAGCGGAACATTCAGCCCCGCTTTGGGGTGAGTTGTTCCACCTATGAGGCAAATTGTTCAGCTTCAGATTATGAAAATATACAGCCAGAATAACATAGGGTTTCTTAAATAACACAACCATTTCTATAATTTTTTCTATGTAATATTTATTCTCTATCTCGACTAAAAAACGTATTTGTAAACGTAATTGTAAATGAGATCTATTATCTTATAAATCTTATCAGATTCATAAATTAAGTTAAAAAAACAATACTCGTAAAACATAACTGGTGAGGTCCAGATAAACGTTTTTTTACTTAGGTAAATTATAAGAAATCTATCAAAACTTTGAAAAACAACAAAACGTAACTTCTTACCTCATGATAAACTTTTATTTTGTTAAATTATAATTAAAATCTATCAAAACTGAACAACAAAACATAACTGGTAACGTACAGATAAACTTTTATTTAGTTAAATTATAATTCAGATTAGTCATAAGTCTTACTTTATGAGTGGTAATTAACTTTGTCAATCTCCATTCTTATTAATCAGTAATCTTATTCATCATCAATCTTATTCATCACTAATTTTTTCTTGAATATGAATCGCAACAAATTATGCAGTACCATTCCAGATAGTTATCACTGTCACTCTTGCTTTCTCGTAACACTCTTCGTTTAGCTTTTTCTTGAGATTTAAGCTTTCCTTTACCTTTTTCCTTACAGTTATAATTGATTTTTCTTTTCTTTTCGTTGCCTGTTCTTCCCAACGCGTTTTTTCTGGCGTGTCAGTTAAAATAGCCGCCTTTGTCTACATCGTTTTGTAGATTTCTGCAATCTTGACACCACCCTTTGGTAAAGGTTTTACAATTTCTGGGTTGAACACAGCTACAGCGTTTATCTTTGCTGGCGTTAATTGAAGTCCATGTTTAGTATTCAGTGTTGAAGAGTCAGTCTGATGGAGATCACTCAGATTTGTTGTCGAATGCTGAGATTCATCATTCTGCACAGATATTAAAGTCGTCAAAGGCTCCAGCTGCATATAATTCTGTGGTAAGTTTTGAATGTTGGATGATTCTGGCTGGTCATCATATTGTGCCGAAATTAAGCAGATAAAAGGCTGGGAGGGCTCTTCATTTGACACAGCTTGAGATGAAGTAGCTTCTAATAATGGCCGATCTGTTACGAAAGATGGAGCAAAATCATCATCTGTAAAAAATATCGAGGTTATAAGGGCATATTCCAGCTTTTTTTTAATGTGTTTATGATATATGTAGGAGTTGCTGCTAAAGGCCATGCTATTTTAACAATTGTAGAAATTTCGTAGACTGACAATTTAGCAATTATTTATTAATAGTAAATAAAAGTATTTACTGCAGTCTTTAAGAACACAACCAGGCATTTTGCAGTTATTATTTATGCGAAGCGAACACGACTCATCTGTGCGGGTGTTGGACACTCACTACACAGTTGCGGTACAGTGTACCGCAAAGCATGGCGCTAAATCATGGCGTTGTCTTCTCTAATTCTCCATACGTAATATCTCAATGGCACGAAGTAATTAAATAAAAAATATTTGCGTACATGCTACCCTCACAAGAGATTTACAGAAAAAAGTGACGGCAGATATTTATTTGCTGTTCAGTAATGGAAGCAGTAAGTCATAAAAAGCCAACAAAATTTTTTTTCTATAGTTTTCAGGTAAATGTAGGATGTATACAAAAAAACTACTAATTACTTGGTTCAGCTCATACATCAGTTTTATTTTGTTGCTGGCTCTTTATGAATCTCTGCTTGCATTACTGACCAGCAACAAAATATCTGCTGTCTTTTTTTTTAAATCTTCTATTAAGATAGCATGTACACAAATAATTGCTAATTTTGTTTCTGTCTCTTTATGCCTTGCTGCTTCTATCTGCTATCTTTTTTTAAAGTTAAAAGTAAATATAACATGTACATAAATAACTACTAACTTTTGTTACGTGTTATACACGATGCCGCTGTATGTTCGAGTCAACTGAGGAAAAACCATAAAGTTACAGAACACTTGCGAAAAATTGCAGCGTAATGCTACCGTGATTCGTATGGTGAGTGACAAGAACTGAGGCTTACTTTATTGGTAACGACGTATCGAATGGTAATGTAGTACTCAGTAGTATAATTAGAGTAATATAATTTTATTTTATTGTGCGGATTTGTGCGAATTAATTTCTAATAACTTGAATATAATGTATTTCCGCAAATTAACGCCAGAATTAATTAGCTTTTCTAGATAACATTTTATTAATAATTTTTAAATCTCCCGTATTATAGGCAGCATTTACACATATAACTTGTAACTTATTATACAAAACATCAAAACCATTATTAAAACATAACTTGATTTCTAGTGTATTTTATTTTGTAATTTTTTTTGAATTTTTTATATTATTTTTGCATAATATTTTAGCAACTAATTAGCAACAAATTATCCCATTTCATTCGCTACGGCGGGGTTGATTTAAAAATTTTATTGCTATCTTAATGTAAAGAAAGCAGTAAATCAATTTTATCAAAACCGGTTGGAGCAACAAAATTGCGATTTTGGCAATCAATTAGCAACAAATTAGCTACAAATTCCTGGATAAAAATTTAAGGTTTCTCCTGACTTCTCACTGCTATCTTTATAGAGCTTGAGTAGCTAAATGAGTCAACTGTAAACAACCGGTATGCCGGTAGTATTAGGAAAGATGAACTCCTAACACAGATGTGGGGAAAAGAGCCCTACATTTCGGGTAAATGAAATGTCCTCGTGAAATCTTTTCCTGACATCTGATTGGACTGACAAATGAGCTACAGGGACTACATACCATTATTATTAACCTTTTTCTTCTTTATCTGTACAAATAAATAAAATTGAAGTGTCTATTTGTAATATCAATTCATATGTTTTCAACAATTTTAAAGATTTTTGTCTGTCTGTCTGTTTGTTCCGGCTAATCTCCAAGAAAGCTGGACCGATTTTGACGGGACTTGCACTGGCAGATGGCTGATGCTATAAGGAGTAACTAAGGCTACTTTCATTTTTAAAAAATAATTAGGGTTCCGCGCATAAAAATTAAAACCTATGAAATTCAATCATAATAAAATCCATGCGTCCATCCATGCCAAAAGTCGTGGGGGATACCTGTGCTGGTATGGGAAATATAAGAAATCACTAAATATCTTTATTAAATTTATATGTCTTCAATTCGCTAATTGACACAAAAAGAATTTAATATAATGTATGTATGTGAATACTTAAATTTTAGTATATGTATATACTTGCCTATATGTAAGTGTTTAATTATAATATGGTTATATGTATATGTGTGTGCTTACATAATATGTTAATATTATCCCATTGAAGCATAAATAATTTCCTAGGTCAGCCATGACAAATTTTTTAAATTAAGTATTGTTTTTGATCAAAGGTTTTGTTATTTTTTTTTCTTTTCAACTTTTCATACTTCTGATTTGTGCTAAATCGTGGAAAGTGGATGACTATTATTGGCCTTATGTAACACATATTATATAAGATTTTATTTCACAGAATGAAGGCTATTGTTATCCCCAATAAATAAAATACAATAAAATAAATAAAGTTTTAATAGTACGAGTTCATTATATAGCTAAAGATTTTCGATAAAGTTTTATTAAAATTCAAAGTATCGTTGTTGTTGACAAATTCGCAAACGCAAGTTAAGCTTATTTTCTTCTAAGAATTAAAACTTTAAAACATGTTAAGAGTAAACAGATCTATAAAACTACTCGTAATGCATTAAAGCTTACTCTATAATTTACGGCTACATATTTCAGCCTCTTTATCGTTCAAGTTAAAATCATTTCAGTTTTAAGAGTTTGTTTTCCCGGATTTTTTTATAAATAATTAAAATTGTTGATATTAAATCAGCTGCTCATGATATATCAAAATAAATAAGTACATAAACAATATGTGATAAACCTAAACGATAATTTTCGAGAACTGTAAAAACGAACAAAATGAACAAAAAGTAATTCGTATGGGCCAACTTATACGTGTAACGGTTATGTCATATGTGTAATATTTATTTTCTATGTCCTATACGTATACAATCGGAGGAAGACTCGGATAAGACTACAAGGCTTATAAAGTACCTTATAAAGTTTTCATACGTGGTAGGGCCACGCTGCAGCTATATTATGGTTGTAGCACAAATGGTTCGGCTCGACCGGGGAAGGACCACGCTCTCACATAATACCAGTGTAAAATAACAGTTTATTACTGTTGTGTTTCGTATGGTGAGTCTAGAGATCCGGTGACCCTTTTTACTGGAAGCGAGGATTTCATCTTAGTCCTCAGGGGTGACAACTAATTTGCGTCACAGCATCCACTTATCATCAAGTGGACTGTATGCTCGTTTGTCACTCTTATTCTATAAAAAAGTACTTAGTAAGTTTTAGCACACATCATATCTCTCCAACGTGTGGTGGCGATGTAAGAAAATCCACTGACCTATATCAACTCGTGGATGTCTTAAAAGGCGACGAACGGCTGAATCAGGAGAGATGTACAGCAGCAAATTAAACAAAATAATTAAAAAAAACTGCGGTTGCCAAAGCGCCTCCCAAGCGTGGCAGCTGTGGCAAAATCCTATATTCGGCAATGGACTTTATAATGAATGAATGGACTGGTATTTACCAGGTTTTACGTGGTAGAGCCATGCTGCAGTTATATTAGTAGTATAGTTGTAGCACGAATGGCTCGACCGGGGAAGGACCACGCTCTCACAGAATACCAGCGTCAAATAGTAGCTTAATGCTGCTGTGTTTCGTATGGTGAGTGTAGAGAACCGGAGATCATTTTTACTGGAAACGAGGCATTCCATCTAAGTCCTCACGGGTGACAACGCACTTGATTCGTAATCGAGGATAGATGTAGATGTCTATGGGCCACAGCAACCACTTACCATCAGGTGGACTGTGTGCTCGTTTGTCACCCTATCCTATAAAAAAAAAACAGAAACTTAGTAGCTAATTACGCTGACCGCCACAAGTTCTTGAACAAAGGATAATAATAAACAGCTTTTATCGATTCAAACTTCACTTTTATAATGGTCTTCGTGGTTAATTTGTGACCTTTTTATGCATCTGTCGAAACTATTATCGACATTACCCAAATAACATAATAAGAATGCGTCCTACAATTACAATATATCTCTTTCCACTATCGTAATGTTATAGAATCACTGGGATAATAAACACGTATAACCATAAATGAATGTTTGTCGGTAAACGACGTAAAGCATCGAATAGCTATTTGCTATGGAAATTATGGGTCTCACGAGATTTTCAGTAAAGGCGGCTTTTCGATATTCGTAGTATACAAAGTTATAAAAATACTTCATACAAGAATCTACAATCCAGTTAAGTTTATAAAAAAATATTTGAAAGAAGTTATTTTAGATGCTCCATTAATAAACAGACATAATCATGACCTTTTTTCTTTTCAATAACTTTTATACTTTGAGAAGTCAGAGGTCTAATACAAATTGTTATTTCGGTAGATTGAATTCCATTCCATTGGCTGCTTAAAGTCTTAACGTACATTTTATTTGAAGCACCGCTACTCCGGGACTTTTATAATACTGCTCCGAAAAATCATCAAAAATTAGAAAAGACGAAAAATGGTAAACAATGTTATTGAAAAAAAGATCCCAATTTTAACAAAGAAAATAACTGGGTGCTACCATCAGCTTAGGATTCTATAATTAATAAACTTATATGCAAAGTGCAAACCTAACCATATCACTACATGACAAAGATACTAAGTTCGTTCCTTGCATTGCGGTTGTTTAAACCTTGTAGTTCACGAAACTTGATACAAATAAAGCTGTAAAAGCAAATGATAACAGCACCATCACTAATACTAATAATTTACGGGCATCAGACAGGAAAAAGGCCGGCAACGCTACTGTAATTTCTCTGGTATTGCAGTTGATAATGGGGGGCATTAGTCACCATTAGGTGAGCTGTACGCTCTTTTGCCCCTTTTTGAATCGTCGGGGCTTCACCAGGTTCACTTTTTGTAGAACCGCTTCTGGCGGAAAGACTATATCATAAAGAGTACAGCAGAAATCATGGTGAAGGAGGGCCTTCACCATGATTGCTGCCAGCTGTTGACCCGTTGGATTCCGTTGCGCTACTTTGCATTTTTATACCTTTCGCTCACCGTTCTCTTTTACGCCTGGTTTTGCGTTGAAGTCTTTCACTAACATTGTATAATTGGTTTTGGAGGAA